CTCAAGAAATGCTCACGTCGAATCCTCGAGGTGAGCAGATTCTCCACCCCGAACCGCCGTTCCCCCAGTGGTTCCCAAAGACGAGGTCACGCGTGGCGGCTCTTTCAGCAGGTGACCTTTTGGTGGGTGTTCACGTCTTTCGGGTGTTCCATATGGCCAGTAGCGATGGCCTGGTAGATTCCAGATTGGCGTAGAAAAATCTTCCACGGAAGACTTTTCCGCTCAGGTGACTTTCATCCTCTTCACCTTGGGCTTCTGCCACCGCTTGGGCTTCCCGCCCGACATCGAAGTGGCCGAAGCAAGACGTGCCCGTCGCCTGGGCCTGCGCCGGGTGAGTGCCTGGAGCGTGATGAGCCGGAAGAGCACGGTGATGATGGAGCAGGAGAGCAAGAGGCTGATGTGGGTTCGTATTTTTACACCCTCAAATCATACCACCCATTCAAAGATACACACCCATGTGTTTGCTGGGCACTTGGGGGCTTATCGCCGTGATGGTCATTGGTGCTGGTGGATTTTTGGGGATTTGTCCAGGGCAGGTGCCTGGAATGATCCACAGGTGAGGTTTCTCCCACTCCTGCTTATCCAAAACTCATATCTTCTACCAGGCCCAAGAATCATGGAATTGCTGTGTGATCGGTAGGGGTGACATACCTATAAGGGAAAGAGGCATCCTGCCTCCACGATCGTCCACGATGGTCGCACGCGATGAAGGCTTTCAGTTGGATGGCTCGGGTTGCGGATGCTTCACGCGAAACGAACGTTGCCTAAGGAAGGAGTGGAGGTCAGGGGATTTCTACATCAAAGACCTTCGCATGTTGTGACAATGAGTCATGCACTCAGGGTGTGGGTTTGGGGGTCCATCTACTGTTAGTACAAGTTCCTGCAAGTACGAAAAGTACAAAGGCAGGAAATCGAACAGATGGCAAATCGATGCAAGCTCCAATACAACTAAGATGAGAGCTTTGCCCTCAAGGGACCTTAAATGTTTCAATCGGATGTTTCCTTGTATGGGTCAGTTCCCCTCACAACTCCCAATTCCAGTTCGTTGATCATAGGTCTCCGTCTCCGTCTTCCGCTCGAGCGATGGAGAAACGGCGCGCAAGGAGCCATCGGCTGCTTGCACTGAGTCTGAGAAAGTGACCAGTGTTGCGGAGGTGCCGAGCTCGATCTCGGCTCCTGCTGGAGCATGGGGCCAGGCCACGAAGACCGCAGAGGTCTGACTAAGGCAGCTATGGCCTCCACCCTAGTAGCGATGGCCTCTACGGAAGCAGGGGGATGAGGCCACGAAGACCGCAGAGGTCTGACCAAGGCAGCTCAGGCAGTCGTGCAGACACTGAGGAGGGGGAGGAGGTCAATCGAACCCGATTGTGTGAGCCTCTCTTGGCTGGTCAAACCAGGATGACCGAAAGTGTTGGAGTTTGTTATATGGAGGACGAAGAGATTTGTACTCAGGAGAAGTACTAGAAGGGCTGATCTCTTAAGCTTTGTGATATGTTCTTTTGGTTTGACTAGATTTATGTGTGTATGCGCCGCCTAGGTCCTGGTATGTAGGTCGAATTGACTTCAAAACTAGACGACGGTTAACCCGAGAGCGAGAAAGGTGATTGTCAAGCAATTCCGAGTAAGGAAATAGTTCAAATCAAGTTGTCCAAGAGTCATGACTTCTTTATACAATCTGTTGCGAAGAAATTAGATCTAAAATATTAAAAGAAAAGATATGTAGAAAGAGAGAAAGAGAGGGCGGATGTGAAGGAGTGACAGTGTGGATGTGCAAGTGTGATATAGGATGTGAGTGTGTGAAGATGTAAATGTACAGAGGTGAGGGTGTGTAGACGTCGATGCGCAGATGCAACGGCAGCGCAACGTTGTCGGTCAGGAGCGCCAACCTTGGTGCATTTCTCGCTGCGCAAGCACAACGCTGAAGAGGTTCGAATCAAACTGATCTATGGCACACCAGCGACACGCCGCATTTACACCAGCGTGCTTCGCGCTCCCCAGTGGCACGGCGCCACGCAAACGCACTTTCCACCAAGGCCGCGCAAATCCGCATGGCACTGCGACATCACGAACGTACTGTCGCCACAACGTCTGTCACACACTACAAGCAATCATATCACACGCCGCCGCCAATCATCCCGCTCACCAGCGACACGCCGCGTTTACACCAGCATGCTCCGAGACTTCCTCCAAAAGTGAAGCGCCAAGTCTCCAAAACGAGCGTTTCTTCCGAGACTTCCTCCAAAAAGTGAAGCGCCAAGTCTCCAAAACGAGCGTTTCTTCCGAGACTTCCTCCAAAAGTGAAGCGCGACCAATTCAAAACGTACTCTCACCTGCATTTCGCGCCCTCGACAAGCACGATCTCCGCAGAGGGTTGCGCGCGCCAAACCCAAAATGCAATCTCACCTGCATGTCGCGCCCTCGACACGCACGATCTCCGCAGAGGGTTGCGCGGGACAAATCCAAAACGCAATCTCACCTGCTTTTCGCGCCCTCGACGCGCACGATCTCCGCAGAGGGTTGCGCCGGCCACGGCAAAAACGCAATCTCACCTGCATTTCGCGTCCTCGACACGCACGATCTCCCACCGCCCCCGGCCTCAAGAGAGAAAGAAAAGAAGAGCGACAGGATACGCAGATGTGAGATGTGCAGATGTGAAGATGTGAAGATGTAGATGTGCAGATGTGAAGATGTGAAGGTGAGCAGACATGTAGATGTGCAAATTTGTAGATGTGCAGGTGTGAAGATGTGAAGATGTAGATGAGACGTAGTTCTACAGATGCTTATTCGTTTTCGTAAAAAACCTTCACAGACGCTCTCGGGAAACAAGCATGTACTCTATTGAAGATTGTATGGATGGGCATGATGGGCAGAGCGGTTTGCTCGTCTTGGACCTTGGCGCATTGACTGAAGCCACTCGGCTGTAAAGCAGGCCAAGTGTTCTTCTTGGTAATGGATCCTCAGCTGCAAAATGTGTCCAGCTGTAAAGAATCTAAGGGTTGAGTTCGAGCTGTCAAGCAAAGTATGGTTTTGAATTTCAATTTGTCTTGTGAGCTTGGAATGTTCATATTGTTCAAGCTAATGGTAGGTAGAAAGTTGTCCAAAAATATGCACGTTCCTCGATCTTTTTTGTTTGCAGCCATCAGTTAATGATGCCAAATGAACGCAACCTGAGCTGGATGCTGTGAGCCTCTTTTCCGCTTCATGTCTCCGCTTGGTCCTGGGTGCTTTGCTTGAGAGTTAGGGT